GCATAGGGTCCGGAAAGAACTGTTCGTTACAGCGCTGGTGACCTCCGTTCTGTGTGGCACTGTGTGGGGCGCTCGGACACACTGGCCGTTACGTGGTTGTCTGAGCTGAGTCGGAGAATGTTCGGGAGGAGCCCTGAGAGAGACCTGTACGGCCTGTTTTACCTGGAGGAACTACGGTTGTTTATTGGTTGACAGTTCCGTGGGTCTCCGAGACCCATGTGGGGTTACCCTGCCCTACCAGTTCCTGATTGGCCGATGATGAGTAACAATGCACTCTGACCTTAGAGTTGTAAACAACTTTGGATGACTCTCTCTTGCCATCTCCCAGACAGTGAGGGTCCAGAGATGACCATTTATTAGGGTTGCTGGAGAATCTCAGCATTGGGAGTTGTTCCTTATCAGGACACTCTATCGAGTAGAAAAACACCTTAATCGTGAACCAAATGGAATGGAATGCTGGAATGGCTGTATCCAGCACCACTGAGATGAGGGAGAGAGAGACTGGCAAGGGAGCGGCAAACTTAATTCCAGTACTTGCCGCTACACTTAGTTAGGGGGGTCTTTATCTTGCACTTGGAATTTCTTATCAGTCAACTCCCATCCCTGCCATAACTCAGACGTGCCTAAGCATGAAACATCTTGTGTTACAAGAAGTCTTTGTGCAGGAAGAAATCAGTTAACCCCCTTTTCACATCTTATACCTTTCTTCAGTAGTTAGTGAAGATTAGCCAGGGTGTTGGAAGAACCCGAAGACCGAGTGTTTCGGGTTTTGTTTTGTAGTTCGGTCAGCTTCCCCTCGCATTAACCAGCTGCATGTTGTTTCTTTTCTTTCCTTTGGCAGTGCTCAAGTCCCTTTTCCCTCTGTGTTATAGGTGTCCTGTTTACGTAGCAGTCACTTATTCACTTTAAAATTAATCACTTTTGTAGGAAACGTTTGTCACACTTCCCAAGTCCCTCACCAGAAACCCAGCTGCATCCAAACCCAACCTAAATGTTATACCCCTTTACCCCTAGACACCTGGGGTCGTAACAGTGTAACTATCTGAGCACTTTCGAGTTCTTGCCTACTCCTGTGTGTCCTGACTTCAGGAAACTGATCCAGGCAGGTGTTCTGCTTTTCACCTGATGAGCTCCTTGTGTTGGGTTATTGCCGTGCGGCGCCAGGGAGACACACCCAGTGAGAATGGGAGCATTTTCTTCTCCATCATCAGTGAAGATGTTTCTGTACACTTCAGCATCTGTTCAGAATGGATCCTCTGTCTTGTGAAGAGATGCATAGGTGTACTAGTCAGTGTTTTTGAGGGTTTTGAATACCTGGATCAGGTCACCTCTTCAGTTTTAATTCATTTAGCCTGTCGGTGGAGGACATGCTTTTCAGCCTTATTGCTTGAGGAACACATCTGGTTGCTCTTTTCTGAACTGATTCCAGAGCAGAAATATATTTTCAGGAATGCAGTGTCCAAAATTGTACACAGCATTATATATAAGGTGCATCATATATATTTTTTATAAAACATCCTTGATTTAAGAAATGTTTAACTTGATTTTGATCCTTATATAAGAAAGTTTCCTTTTCATATATCTGAATGCATATATGTTTTCCCTGTGCAATATTTGTCTTTCTGAAGTTTCCTGGTTTATTGCTCTATTACCTTACTGTGCTGGAGAACAATGAAATGATGTGCCTCTGTGTGTAATTGCAACAAATTAACTGAAACTGGCAAATCTGTATTTTGTAGCACCTGATTCTGTTTCAGAAATTGTTACCTTTTACAGTATATTCAAGTTTTTTGCTTTGCATAATATTTTTAAAGTTAGATTTTGCTACCTGAATGGATCACTCCACACCTGCCTACATTACATGTCACCTGCCAGGTGTTTTTAGTCTTGAATTTTTAACTTTTTAAAATGAATATGGAGTTTTGACAGATCCTCCTGTTTTGATATAATGTGTAAATCTGATTTGTTTCTAAATGACACCAGAATCTAGACCATTAATATAAAATAGGAAGAACAGTGTTCGTGGTACATATTCCTGTGATACTCCCCTAATTACCTCACACAAATCTGAGCTTTTACTCCTGGCATGTACTCTGTTTTCTATCCACTAACCAGATCATACATTCAGGAACGTTTGTGTCCACTACTGTCATTGCTTAAAAGGTATGCAATATTTGACACTGAGAGAATTTCTTTACACACTGCATGCAGGGTTGTCAGTGTGTGAAGTGTTGTAAAAGGGAGTGTTTCTCAAAGAGAGTATGTAGACTCAACACTGAGAGGGCAAAGTATGGTGAATGGAAGACCATCATCTTCAGTGACGAGGGACAGCGGCGAGTAATGTCATGAATGCTGACCCACTGGTGGCATTCAAGTAAACACTAGGTATAGTGGGATTCTATGACCACTAGGTAACTGGTCATCAGATAAGCAAGATGGTTCAATTATTGTTCGGAGCTTTTAAAGTGTGATTACTGTATGTTCTACTAGCACACATCATTCATCATACTAGAGGCACACCTTGGGAATGGGCAACACGGCACTCACTGGCAGAGACGGGGAAAAGAGCAGATCATTTCTCGAGTATGGGATAGAGAGTGGATTCAGAAAGATCAGATCTTTACTGATAATATTTTATATACGAACCGTTCATGGCAAATCCTCTCAAGGTCTTGTTGTCACGCCCTCATCCCACTGCACTCTCACACTCTGGCCCCGAACACTTCTGCCAAACGACACCGCTCCTGCCAATCAGCCAACTGCGGCACTCCATCAATCAGCGCACCTTCCTCCTTGCACAATACTTAACCCTCCAGAACCCTCTGCTCTTCGCCTGGTATTGGTCGTTCTTTGGAGCTCCTACCTCGCCTTTGTTTTTCTGAACCGTCTCCCGTCTCCCGTCTCCTCACTATAGGGACCATGGAACTTGCCTTTGACCCCGTCTCTCGTCTAGCCCTTGTTTATTTTGGCAGCTACTTTCCTGCCTCTTGACCACCCAAGGTGCCGCGCGGGGTTCATCCTCCCGTTTGCACAGCGGGTCATTCGTGACACTTGTACAATAGAATGGCTAAACCGAAGAGACGGATTGCTGTCCCGGATGTAGCTCCGCTCCACCCGTGCTGGGGTTCGAGCGCGGGCACAGAGTGGACACCTAGATGAGGGGCAAACTCTGCCACTGCCACAGAACGCGGCACTGTCTAGGGGAGGGCACTTCTGTAACCTGATCAGTGCAGCGAGTCCTGATACGTGTATGAAGCTACACGGAACACCGAAACAGTAAATGAAGCAGAAACAACACAACGTGCTGATCTGATAGGGGCTAGATCTTGGATAAGCTCATGCCAGAGCCTTGTACTAGGCACTGAACCTGTAAAGAAGGCAGAGACTATAGAGCGTAAGAAATGAATTTACATGGAATTAACAGCTCACTGCTCATAAAGGTCAGCAGCTGGTTTTTCATGTTATTGTGAAATTTACAGGAAGCCAGTGAGGCAAGAAAAAAAAACAATACAAGCATTTTTGTTTGGGTTAAGTTTCAAGCGGCCGAGCCTGTTTTATTGCACAAACCAGACTGGAACAAGACCATCAGGCGGATCCCAGACCAGAGGAGGTGCTGTTCGATCTGAGGATCTCGTGCAGCCTAACGATGCTGGCTTCAACAGCACGGCGTCTTAGATTGTTCCAGAACGCCGGCCACATGTTAACTGCAGCTATGAAATCAATTGTAACAAGGTGCTAAAAACCAAACATGCAGAAAAAGCTTTGTGTGGCGCCAGGTTTCCGTGGGCGACATCAGAGCGAGCTGCGGACCCGCTGGCTGGAGAGCCCGGTCAGCCTCTCGCACACCTCCCAGTCCTTGCGGGCCAGGGCGGGGTCGCGGGCCAGCGGCGCGGGCTGCCTGAGCGAGCAGTCGCTGTCGAAGTATTTCCCGGTAACCCCCTCCACGTCCTCGGACACGGCGCAGTAGATGGAGCTGACGGCGCCCTCCTCGGAGGACTGCGGAGGAGAGAGGGAGAGAGCTGGGGGTGGGGGCCGGGCCAGGCGAGCAGGGCCGCACGGCGCCGCAGCAGCCTGGCTCAGTCCGCTTATTCATGATATCCCGACACGCCGATCTGTATTCCTTTGAACACTTAACTTTCTGGGCGTTAAGGCAGTTCACTCTGCTGCTTTACAATTCTTGGCACCTGGGTGCATTCTGTATGGGGTTTGCATGTTCTCCTCCTCTTTCATTTGAGTTCTCCCTGGGTGCTCTGGTTTCCTTCCACCTGGGTCATGCCACAGAGTCCCCTGAGTCCTTTTCTAAATGATCTGATGATGGCGTGGTGCTGCATCGGGACAAGAGCCTGTGTGTCTGTGGAAGGAGTGGCTCTCCAGAGGATTTGGGAAGTATAATTTACTGGAAAGTAATGCTTTCAGTTGTTGTTTCGTATTAGTTTGATAGTTGCTTCTACAGAGCTCATAAGCTTATTTTGAAAAGAACAGAATCAGAGCAAAGCTCACATCAAGTCCTTTACATTTCTCTTAATGTACCACAGCAACTTTTGAAACAGTGTGAGTTAATAATTGTCTAAATCCCTTTACTTTTATTTGCTCCTGATAAGATTTTGTGCACCCAGAGTCTAGGCTGTGCAGGCAGCAGTGAGCAGAACTTTGTCTTACAGATTAGTCTCCTCTCTGTGAGAACTCAAGACATTCACAGGACAGCTTAAGCCCTTTAATATTTGGAGCAGAGTAGTCCTGGTTACATTGAGGTTTTGGTACAATTGGTTCTTGATATTCTATGATATTTCACAAAGTTGTTAAGCCAAAATGGCCACCCTATAGCTTGTACTTTTTGTTTTTCTGATTCACTCATGCAAGGCCTTGTAGGGAAGCAGACCCTTGAATTAAATGGGTGTAGATCTAACCACTGTGAGTGACTGTGCTTTCCAGCCTTAACAGTTTTCTCAGTAGTTATTGTCACGATCGTCATCCCTGCCTACCAGCAGGTCCAGGAGAGAAGCATAGGCTTCATCACGGTTTCCAGCTGAGTCTGGGTCTCAGAGCGCCGGGCCTCGTTACCCTGGTTTTTAATCCCTGTTCTTGCTCCAGATCCCATTCCGGTTTTTAAACTTGCTTGTCTCGGATTGATCCCCCAGTTCCTGGACTCTGGACTGCGCCCCGGTTTCCCCCTTTGGACTGTCTGGTTTTGTTTGCCTGCACCAATCCCGCCCCCCCCCCCCCCCCGGGGACTGGATCACCGCTGTCACGCCCCCGTCTGTCAACCCATCCTGATCCTCATCGTCTCCTCCCTGTTGTCCTCCACTTACTTCCGGATGATACCGTCTGCATAGGGTCCTGAACTACGCTTCACGTGAGCCTGGAATGGCTCCTGTTACAGTTACATAAAGATTTCAGGGGGAGGGGGTGGCAGGATTGGATCTGCTCTTGGTTAGTCTTTTGGGGTTATTAATTTCACAAAAAAGACCTCTGTTAAATTGACCCTAGTTTGCCATCTCCTATGGTTTTCTAATTGAAGAATACTAAAATTACCAATGTGACTGTTGGCCTTGTGTTGGGTTTAGTGTTAGGCTGTCTAATAAGGCAGGCTGTGAAACATGACAGCACTAGGGTTGGCTCTGGGTGGTGGTGGTGGTGTGTGAGGAGACAGTTACAACATAGGAGTCCAGCTTCAGTCATAGTCAGCTGCTGTTTTGACCAAACTAGTAACGAGAGAGTGTGAGTGGGTGTGGTGAGGTTTTCTCAGGGCTGGCTGAGACAGCCGTGAGACTGAGACTGAAGCTGAGGGTCACATCATACAGTAGGTCTGTTTGGTGCTCCCCAGCAAACGTGAAACTGCTGAACTGGGCTGAGCTGCTGATACCCCCGGCTGGGGATGAATGGGGTTTATTTCTTCATCTTCCTTCTGGCCCGACAAGGTCAAGGAGAGACACAAGAGTATTGTACAAAAGGGAGTATTGCTTGTTGAAGATCAAGGGTTGTCTTCCGCATCATAATTACCTTAAAGAAGAAAAAGCCAATGAGATTGAAGATCAGCCGGACCACCACGTTATAGTGTCTCATCACCTCTGTCATCACAACACCGGGGTGCAGAGAGTTTGCAGTCACGCCTGCGGAGGATAGCACAGAGTTAATGTCACCCCCTGTGACTAAGACAGCGTACCTGAAGGACACTGCACAGAACACACAAGACACACAGCTCTTAGGGACACTGCACAGGGTTTATATCAGCCGCTGTGTCTAA